CGACGTTTCGGACTCTCACTCGAGGCTATTGTCAAGGAATGAAAACGTACAGGTCACTGCGTGATTAAGTCAGCTCTGCCGGGAGTGACCTTGAGTTCTCATTGTTCGCTCCGCCAAGAGTGACCTTGAACCTTGCTATTCCTCGCGCAACACGAGATAGGCATCTGGGAGATCGATATGCCTATGAAGAGAGTCAGCGTGCGAGTGCCATGCTTCTTGCAGTAGGCGTGATACTCGGTTGTCCGACTGGCCTAGTATTCGCACATGTTCGAAGTCGAAGTCATGCCCTGGCGATAATGGGTGGGCGGCGACCAAGGATAGCTTGTCCTTCCTTCGCACGGCGAGTTCATGCTCGTGCAGTCTCGTGGCCACCCGTTTGCCGGTTTCGCCAGCAAAATACAACCTTCTCATGTCTTTAAATCTCATCTCCAAGGTGGGTTCCGTAGTACACAGCTCAAAAAACTATCCCCTGATCGCTTGCCTTTTGTTGATAAACTGCGGCTAGTATTCATTCGGACTGCGGTGTGGCACACTGAAGCTCGGTAGTAATATCGCCACTTAGCTGTGGAAGCAAGTAAAGTCCTGAGCTCGCTGCTTATAGTCGATCTCTCTCACTTTAATGCGATTCCCATCACGTCTGTTTTCTTTTTGTTTTTCAGGGTCGACGGGGCTTGGGCAATGTTTTTGTGTGGGCATCAGGCAACGGTGGTCGTAGGGGCGACTCCTGTGCCGCTGATGGCTACGCTTCCAGCATCTACACTCTCTCAGTCAGTAGTGTCAGCGAACACGACACCAAGCCCTGGTATCTGGAGAAGTGTGCTTCTACAATGGTCTCTACTTACAGCAGCGGGGGTCCAATGGAACGTGGCATAGTGAGTTTCGCCAATGTAGTGATAGAACTTACATGTAAAGTCTGTTTATATTTCTTCTTGTATAAAAGCTTGCTATCCTTTGGTTTTAATGACGACGTTCGTTGATGTGATCTGGCTGAACATGCTCGTCATGATGGCCTTCCTGATTCGAGGTGAACTAGCTCTTTAAGCACACTATTTAGGATTAAATTGACTTCACTATGGCAGTCCTCTCGAATGCCCTGCAAACGTTTATTTTAATTCCCAAATAGATGGCTGTCCAGGGTAACATTTCCCTGGCCACTATCTTCTTAAACATTTATCTTATCGGATTCAGCATGAAGGAACCGGTAAGGATAAGTTGTATGACCGCCTTCAGAGCAGGGCCGCCCACATTATATGTCTGTTTGCATAATATTCCGGGGAAATGAGGTGAAGGTTTTAAGCTGTGGGTTAGGATTATGTTTAAGGTTAAGGTTTAGGTCAGAGTAAGTGCTAGGGTCAAGTTGATGGTAAGGGTTAAAGATTGTGTCTGTAT